TTAGACAAAGGCGGGGCTTTTGTCATGTAGGTTCATCACCCACCGGAGACCCTACTAACTCTTAACTAAATTATAACGTTATAATCCAAAGTACTAGGGATTAGATACATTACATTTATAATCCAAAAGTACTAGGGATTAGAAAAAATATAGTTCATAACACCAACGTACGAGGAATTAGATAAAATAAGTTTTATAACACCATTTTTCAATACCTACTCTACGCAGTATAATTAATAATCTATTAAGTATTTGTTCGCGTGATCTAAGTTAGCCCTACCGCCAAGAAATAGTGCATGATACAAGTTCCGTTACCACGGGTCCACCTAACATTGATACAAGTTACCACAAATCTACCTAACACCAACACAAATTCTCAGGTAGACCTGCACAAGTTTCAATACGATTTTATCGTCAATACTAAAGTTGGTTCTGTTAGTTCAAAGTTTTAGCAGTGTGATAAACAGGTATGTGATTTGTGAAAAATGTATATGTGATCTGGTGAATATTTAGTATTTGATCTGCTGAATATTTAATCTGTGATCTTGTCCTCAAATTGTTGAAGTTGAATGAAGCTAATTTCCTATCCAACAAAAATCCGAATCAAAAGCTATTTGTACAACAATTAACCAATCATTGTGCCCTGCTCTTCCTGATTTTAAAATCTTCATGATCCAGATTTCAGTATTTTAAAAAATGCAAATTCCAACAACTCCTAACATTATCTGACCCCCTTTTTTTTTCTTCTTCCAAATATCTGTCGACCTTTTTGTATTCATTACAGTAATAAAACTGTTAGGAAATTATTTTGGCTTTTTTTTTTATTCGCTTTTTTTCTTCCCATTTCTGAGTTCGGTTCGATGGTCCTTTCATTTTGTTTTTTTTTTTAACCTTCTTGGCATCCTAAATCAATTTCTTGTTTCATAATCGGGCTAAGAAATAGCTAGCTTAAATGAAATACGCGTTCATTCAATTACACTAATGTCGAATAACTACAAAAACGTTTTCTTGAATTCTGATGGGCTGCGGGGGAGTTTAGGGTGGCCCGGGGGGGGGGGGGGGTGAGGTTTGAGGGTGGAGGCAGACAGGCGTTATTACGGGTGTCAGGGGCATAAATAAGGTAAATAGTATCGAATTTTGGTATCGTTGGATGGGAGATGAGGAGCCCCGGTGTGATTACTACCTAATGACTTATTCTCTGCGCTGGTTGTAATCGAGTTCGTTTAGTTTGATGGGAATCGATCTCTGATGGGATGAGTTGGTGCCCGGAGCTAGGGGGTAATTGTGTCATTAGCAGAACAAGTGTGTCGTTATTAGGGCGGGTGTGTCTTTGGTAGGTTGGGTGTGTCTTTGGTAGGTTGGGTGTGTCTTTGGTAGGTTGGGTGTGTCTTTAGTAGGGCGGGTGTGTCTTTGGTAGGTTGGGTGTGTCTTTGGTAGGTTAGGTGTGTCTTTGGTAGGTTAGGTGTGTCTTTGGTAGGTTGGGTGTGTCTTTGGTAGGTTGGGTGTGTCTTTGGTAGGTTGAGTGTGTCTTTGGTAGGTTATGTGTGTCTTTGGTAGGTTGGTGTGTCTTTGGTAGGTTGGTGTGTCTTTGGTAGGGCGTGCGTAGGAGAATGTGTCCTTATAATGTAGAATGTGTCTTAATAGGACTGGTGTGTCTTTAGTAGGGTGGGCGTATTTTTCGTGGGTTGAGAGTGTCTTTACAATGGCGATACTTTTCAGTAGAGCACTTAAATCTGTGTGGGAAGCTTACATCGGTATGTAGGTAGCTTACATCTGTGTGGTCGCAGCTTACATCTGTGTGGTCGCAGCTTACATCTGTATAGAGGCGGCTTACATCTGTGTGGTCGCAGCTTACATCTGTATAGAGGCGGCTTACATCTGTGTGGTCGCAGCTTACATATTTGTGGTCGCAGCTTACATCTGTGTATGGGTAGCTTACATAACGTGGCCAAACATCACGGGACTAAAATCAACATGGCCAGTTACCCACGTGACCAAACTGTAACGTAACATTTCCCCACGTGGTCAGGCCTTCACGTGACGAACTCTTTGATGCCACGTGCCCTCTAATCTTCACATCCTTAATGAGTTGTTTGCAGAAAACGCGCGCGAAAAAAATGCCTTTAACTACTTATTACCTCCCTTATGATGTCAGTTTTTCTAAGGCGATTTGTCTTCCCTTGCAATGACGCACTTGGTTCATTGTCATCCCAGCTCTGGGCTAGTTTTTTAATGGAGCTGATCCTGACAAAAGATGCTGTTGTACTTGGTGGCATTGTGGGTAGGCCACACTGTCAATGTGGTAGTGATGTCGTGTGGGTAGGCCACACTGCCACTGTGGTAGTGATGTCGAACATTGTGGGTAGGCCACACTACAGCCACTGTACCTGTACTTTCACAGTGGCGTAATGTCTAAAAGACATTGAGGGTAGGCCTATTGCCACAGTGGCAGTGATGTTAAAAAACCACTACATCAAAATTATATACACATCACATCACACCACAACTAAACCACAACCTAACTACACCACAACAATTCCAGATCACCATCACACAAGAGAAATGTGATTTCACGAGACTTCGCGAGACTTCACATAAAACACCTGCCAAAGGTTTAAATTAGAAAGCAAAAATTAATAATCATCATCATATGCCACATGTATCCAAACTTAATTAATTAGGCTGCTTACTGCCCAATTTGAGTTATCGCATTTCCCCCCCCCCCCCCCACTTCCATCCATGATTTGCCCGAGGCGATGCTAGGGTTTCTGGTCGTGTGTTGGGCTTCATGGTGATTAGAAATAAAAAGTGAAGTAGGAAACGTTCTAGTAACGAATCGTGTACAGGCGAAATCTGTTCATTCAAAATTGGCTCCCTTTAGATCGGTGTGATATTACTTCTAAATCATCAACTGCTATAAGTTACTGATCATACACATCACCACCTACACATCACCACCTACACATCACCACCTACACATCCCCAATTACACATCACCTACACATCACCACCTACACATCACCACCTACACATCCACAATTACACATCACCTACACATCACCACCTACACATCACCACCTAAACATCCCCAATTACACATCACCTACACATCACCACCTACACACCACCAACTACACATCACCACCTACACATCACCACCTACACATCACCACCTACACATCACCACCTACACATCACCACCTACAAATCAGCACCTACACATCACCTACATATCATCACCTACACATCACCACCTACACATCACCACCTACACATTACCACCTACACATCCCCAATTACACATCACCTACACATCACCACCTACACGTCACCACCTACACATCACCACCTACACATCACCACCTACAAATCACCACCTACACATCACCACCTACAAATCAGCACCTACACATCACCGCCTACACATAACCACCTACACATCCCCAATTACACATCACCTACACATCACCACCTACACATCACCACCTACACATCCCCAATTACACATCACCTACACATCACCACCTACACATCACCACCTAAACATCCCAAATTACACATCACCTACACATCACCTCCTACACACCACCAACTACACATCACCTCCTACACATCACCACCTACACATCACCACCTACACATCAACACCTACAAATCAGCACCTACACATCACCTACATATCATCGCCTACACATCACCACCTACACATCACCACCTACACATTACCACCTACACATCCCCAATTACACATCACCTACACATCACCACCTACACGTCACCACCTACACATCACCACCTACACATCATCACCTACACATCACCACTTACACATCCCCACCTACACATCACCACCTACACATTCCCACCTACACATCACCACCTACACACCACCACATCACCACCTACACACCATCACCCGCACATCACCACCTACACATCCCCACCTACACATCACCACTTACACATCACCACCTACACACCACCACCCACACATCACCACCTACACACCACCACCCACACATCACCACCTACACATTACCACCTACACATCCCCACCTACACATCACCACCTACACACCACCACCTACACACCACCACCTACACACCACCACCTACACACCACCACCTACACACCTACACACCACCACCTATACACCACCACCTACACATCACCACCTACACACCACCACCTACACACCACCACCTACACATCACCACCTACACATCACCACCCACACATCAACACCTACACATCAACACCTACACATCACCACAAATACATCCCCATCTCACATCCCCACCTACACATCACCACCTACACATCACCACCTAAACATCATAATCTAAACACCACCACCTACACACCACCACCTACACATCACCACCTACACATCCCCACCTACACATCCCCACCTACACATCACCACCTACACACCACCACCCACACATCACCACCTACACATCACCACCTACACATCCCCACCTACACATCACCACCTACACACCACCACCTACACACCACCACCTACACACCACCACCTACACACCACCACCTACACACCTACACACCACCACCTATACATCCCCACTTACACATCACCACCTACACACCACCACCTACACACCACCACCTACACATCACCACCTACACATCACCACCCACACATCAACACCTACACATCCCCACCTACACATCACCACAAATACATCCCCATCTCACATCCCCACCTACACATCACCACCTACACATCACCACCTAAACATCATAATCTAAACACTACCACCTACACACCACCACCTACACATCACCACCTACACATCCCCACCTACACACCACCACCTACACATCACCACCTACACACCACCACCTACACATCACCACCTACACATCACCACCTACACACCACCACCTACACATCACCACCTACACACCACCACCCACACATCACCACAGCACAGTCTCCAACTGCTCTAACCTGTTTACCTCTACTCTGTTTCAGCAGCCAAGACGACTGAGCTCGGGTTCAATTACCAGCGATGCCGAGAGTGAAGCCACTGAACCAGATCCTCCCGTCGTTAGACGTGGGAGGCGAGCCGCCATTTATGAAACAAAGGTAGGACATTGTTTTTTGTAGGACATTTGTTTCTGTAGGACATTGGTTTCTGTAGGACATTTGTTTCTGTAGGACATTTGTTTCTGTAGGACATTGGTTTCTGTAGGACATTTGTTTCTGTAGGACATTTGTTTCTGTAGGACATTTGTTTCTGTAGGACATTTGTTTCTGTAGGACATTTATTTCTGTAGGACATTTGTTTCTGTAGGACATTTGTTTCTGTAGGACATTTGTTTCTGTAGGACATTTGTTTTTGTTGGTTTATATAACACCCAGGTTTCTTTAGGGCCCAGGTTTCTTTAGGGCCCAGGTTTCTTTAGGACCCAGGTTTCTTTAGGGCCCAGGTTTCTTTAGGGCCCAGGTTTCTTTAGGACCCAGGTTTCTTTAGGGCCCAGGTTTCTTTAGGGCCCAGGTTTCTTTAGGACCCAGGTTTCTTTAGGGCCCAGGTTTCTTTAGGGCCCAGGTTTCTTTAGGACTCCGTTTTAATAGGACCCTGGTATCTGTAGGACCTGTAGGACCTAAGTTTTCAAGGACCCAGGATTTTTAAAACTCCTTTTTTCTGTGGGACCCAGATTTCTGTATGACCCAGGCTTCTGTTGGTCACTAGATTTCTAAAGCTTAACTTAATCATGAATTCGCGAGATAGATAGCACAATTGCATCTACATCTACTTCTAGATCTAGATCCAAATACTGAAGTAGAATTATACATATACCACCAGATCTAGTCTTAGAACGAGGGCACATATCTCTATACATAATATGAAGTGGCAAGCGAAAAAAGTAATGATCTCCCTATGGAAAAAAATATCTAATGGCCAGAAAAAGCCAAGACGTGATGGTGATGAGATAAATAAGATAGCCCTTCACTGTCGAGACTTAGGTGCTTGTCTGGTTACTGGGCGGGGGGGGGGGGGGTCTGAACTGGTGGTGTGGGGGTGGGGGACTAGTGTGTGGGGTGGGGGACTGGTGTGTGGTGTGTCTGAACTGGTAGTGTGGGTGTGGGGGACTGGTGTGTGTGGGTGGGGGCTCGTGTGTGGGGTGTCTGAACTGGTAGTGTGGGTGTGGGGGACTGGTGTGTGTGGGTGGGGGACTCGTTTGTGGGGTGTCTGAACTGGTAGTGTGGGTGTGGGGGACTGGTGTGTGTGGGTGGGGGACTCGTGTGTGGGGTGTCTGAACTGGTAGTGTGGGGGTGGATAACTATTGTGAGGTGTCTGAACTAGTGGTTAAGGGGTGGGGGAACTGGTGTGTGGGGTATTGGCTGGTTGTTATGAGGTTGGGTATGCGGTAAATGTGGTATGGACCGATAGTTAGGGGGTGAGGGAGCCTACATGTTGAGTATGAACTGATGGTGAGGGGGTGGGGGAATCTGAATGTAGGGGGTATGGACCGGTAGTTATGGTTAGGTTAGGGGGTGGTGTCTGGGTAATGTGTGTATGGGCACGTGGGTAGTTTGTGGGTTACAAATTAGAGGGTGTGGTGGGATTTCTGCGTATGCGGAGTTTGAATCGCTGAGTATTGTGGGAAGTGGTGTGTGTGTGTTATAAATAGGTGGGCAGAGGTGTGGACTGGATAGTTATGGAATGCTTTAGACTGACTTGCTGTTTGAGAGAGAAAAACGCTCTTGGTCTAAGTGAGAAGTCGGTATGATGGAGCGAAGCTTTAAACTAGTGTTGGGGTGCGAGAGATTGGAGGAGCATATCTGAACTTGGCTGGAAGGAAGGACAAAGTAAATGTAGATGGCTTTGATAGACAGAAGGACGGAAAAAGTAAACGTAAATAGTTGGATAGACAGAAGGTAATAAAAAGAAAACGTAAATGGTTTTGACAGAAGGAAAGAAAAAGTAAACATACATGGTTTGATCGACAGAAGGGAAATAAAAAAAGTAAACGTAAATAGTTGGATAGACAGAAGGAATGAAAAAGTAAACATAAATGGTTTCGATAGACAGAAGGAAAGAAAAAGTAAACATAAAGGATTTGGATCGAGAGAAAGTCGTTAAAGGTCGCCACCTAGCTTCTGGACTCGCCATTACGTCGATGGTCTTTTACTGATGCATTTCGGGAAGAGATTTCCGTGGATGATCGGGGCTTAGCGTAAACGACCAATTCTGGTTTTCATTTGTTCGGCGTCTCACAGGCTGTAAGATAGGGGACTTTCAGGATGGGTGGGTGGGTGGTGGGTCTCTAGTGGATGGTGATGGCGTGGTTGTACATGTGGCGGATGTGGTCTGTGGTTGATGTGGGTGGTGTTGCTATACGTGTGGGGAATGGGTCTGTAGTTGGTGTGTATAGTGTGGTTGTACATATAGTCTCTGCAATGGCTTAAGTCATTATTTTTGTCTCCATGCTTGTTCCAAAAATAAAGCCACATCTTGAAAAAACATTGTATAAACAACTTTATAAACCACACCATGAGCAACTTTATGATACCAAATTTTTGACAAGACTAGCGTGGACGTTTTGGGAATCCTTTATTTAGTTTTCATCGAGATTACTAAAACTCAACAGTTACACCACTACTTCAGTTTAAAGCTACTCTATCGTAACAACTCATTTCTATTGTGCAGAGGCGTAGCGAGGGGGTGCGGACCGCACCGGATGACACCATTTAAGGGGGTGACACCAAGGCAAAAAATAGCAAAATATATACAGAAAAATGATAATTTTCCCATAATTAAATGATTAATTAGAGTAAATTAAATAGTCTTTTTAGAGCAAAGTGAACAATACCGGACACGGGTGGACACCATGACGTAAACCTGCTAATGATAAAGAAAACATACAACATCCAGCTAAATTTATAACCGAATATAGATAAAAATCGTTAGTATTATCTGAGCACAGTTTAAAGCAATCACCGCGGTGGTGACGAGGGGGGGGGGGGGAGAGTTACATCAACTCAACGTTGCAATATATATGCCTGAGGAAAACGGTTTGGTTGAGAATCGTAATAAGCTATAATTATGTTAATCCGTGTATGGGGTGGGTGGTAAAAAGAATTAAATACATCCATGTATATATATATATATATATATATATATATATATATATATATATATATATATATATATATATATATATATATATATATATATATATATATATTACGGGGGGGGGTGACACCATCAGGTGCCGAACCGGGTGACACCCGACCTCGCTACTCCACTGCTATTGTGATACCTTTCCATACACCCACATAACGACGCTACAAACATCAAGTCCATTCAACTAACCTTAGACGCGTCTCCCAACATTGTTATGTAGCACACCGCCAGATCAGGGAAGAATGGCACCACAGAAATCACCGTTATTGTGTGTAGTGGCTGAATATATTACCTGGAATATTGAAGTTTCTGGTGGGGAGAAGACAGAAAACCATAGCGGAGGACAGAATTGATAGATTTCTGATCCCCAAAATATTGAGACCTTGAAAACATGCCCCCGGGTAAATTGAATTCGGCAAGAGGGTGGGGTGAAGGGGGGGGGGGTGTCAACCTTGTTCTTTTAAAGTAGTTATCTCCCCTCGGATGACTTATGTTGAAATTCAAGAGCTGTGTGAAGGGGTCCTAGCTAGCACTTTGTGTTGTACGTAGCCCGGGGGTGGGGGATCCTAGCTTGAAGTGTATTGTACTAGGCCTGTGGATAGGACGGTCAGAGCTAGCACAGAGTTGTACGAATCCCGGGGGTAGGGGATCCTAGCTTGAAGTGTATTGTACTAGGCCCGTGGATAGGACGGTCAGAGCTAGCACATTGAGTTGTACGAATCCCGGGGGTAGGGGATCCTAGCTTGAAGTGTATTGTACTAGGCCCGTGGATAGGACGGTCAGAGCTAGCACATTGAGTTGTACGAATCCCGGGGGTAGGGGATCCTAGCTTGAAGTGTATTGTACTAGGCCCGTGGATAGGACGGTCAGAGCTAGCACATTGAGTTGTACGAATCCCGGGGGTAGGGGATCCTAGCTTGAAGTGTATTGTACTAGGCCCGTGGATAGGACGGTCAGAGCTAGCACATTGAGTTGTACGAATCCCGGGGGTAGGGGATCCTAGCTTGAAGTGTATTGTACTAGGCCCGTGGATAGGACGGTCAGAGCTAGCACATTGAGTTGTACGAATCCCGGGGGTAGGGGATCCTAGCTTGAAGTGTATTGTACTAGGCCCGTGGATAGGACGGTCAGAGCTAGCACATTGAGTTGTACGAATCCCGGGGGTAGGGGATCCTAGCTTGAAGTGTATTGTACTAGGCCCGTGGATAGGACGGTCAGAGCTAGCACATTGAGTTGTACGAATCCCGGGGGTAGGGGATCCTAGCTTGAAGTGTATTGTACTAGGCCCGTGGATAGGACGGTCAGAGCTAGCACATTGAGTTGTACGAATCCCGGGGGTAGGGGATCCTAGCTTGAAATGTATTGTACTAGGCCCGTGGATAGGACGGTCAGAGCTAGCACATTGAGTTGTACGAATCCCGGGGGTAGGGGATCCTAGCTTGAAATGTATTGTACTAGGCCCGTGGATAGGACGGTCAGAGCTAGCACATTGAGTTGTACGAATCCCGGGGGTAGGGGATCCTAGCTTGAAATGTATTGTACTAGGCCCGTGGATAGGACGGTCCTAGCGAATCCCGGGGGTAGGGGATCCTAGCTTTCAGTTTTGTGTGTTGTACGAGGCTCGTGAATAAGAACGGGGGGAGGGTCCTAGCTAGCACTTGGATTGAGCCCGGGGTAGGGGATCCTGGCTTGAAGTGTATTGTTCTAAAACCCGTTGTTGGGGGATCCTAGCTTTCAGTTTGTGTCGTACGAAGCCCGAGCCAGCCCCAAAGTATACACGAATGAAACCCAATGTGCCTCCGACAATACAAATAGACTTTAAATTTAAAATACACAAGCTCGGTAATTACATAACTATTATCTATACATAATTCTCTACGTCGCCCAACCATTTTGTACGTGTCCACGAAATACATACTTATTATTTTTTACTTGTCCACGATATCTATACTTA